GATTATTACTCCACTAAAATTTCTGGTCAAAAATGCAATCCTAAAGAGGCTTGGAAAACTATAAACAATATACTAGGTAGGCAAAGCAAACCAACAGTAGTAAATGAGTTAAAGTTAGGTGAAAAACGTTTGACAAATACCAAAGATATTGGGCTTTAATGATTATTTTTCAAATATTGGCCCTGATCTAGCTAGCAAAATTGACACTCCAAATTTGAACTTTCAAACATATGTTGAAAAGGCTAAATCAGAATTCAGTGCATTCCAGCCAGTCACTGTCAGTAATGTCTACAATCTCTTGCATGGTCTTTCTAGCAACAAAGCCACTGGTGTTGATAAGATATCTAGTAAAATTATTAAAATAGCTGCATCTGCTATTTCAGATTCACTCACATACATTTTCGATCAGGCTATTACCCTATCCCTTTCCCCCCACAAATGGAAAACGGCAAGAGTAATACCTCTCTATAAAAACGGCCAACGAAACCTGCCAGGAAATTACAGACCAATTTCAGTTTTGCCTGTCATTAGCAAAATTATGGAGCGAATTCTATATAATCAACTATACAATTATTTAACCAAATTTGGACTTCTGAGTGATTCTCAATTCGGTTTTCGTAAATTTCACTCTACAGCTACAGCATTACTGGACTGTACAAATGATTGGTACATGAATTTAGATAAAAAAATATTTAACCTAGTAGTCTTAATTGACTTGAAAAAAGCATTTGATACTGTTGATCATCAAATATTATTGACAAAATTAGAGCTCTATGGAATAAAAGGGCAAGCTCTATCTTTTCTAGAATCGTATCTCTCAAATAGAAACCAAAAATGCCAAATACAAGGGTAATTTTCATCAGAGAAATTGATCAAATGTGGCATACCACAGGGTTCTATTTTAGGGCCACTATTTTTTCTATTATATATTAACAATGTGCCTCAATGCCTGGAAAAAACAAAACCTCGGTTGTTTGCTGACGACACTAACTTGACAGTTTCTGGAAACTCTATTACTGATCTTGAAACTGCAGTGAATTCTGATTTGGAAAAACTTAGGAAATGGCTAATTGCCAATAAACTTAGTCTAAATGTTGCTAAGACTGAGTTTATGTTAATTGGTTCAAAGCAAATGATTAAAAGTATTTCAAATTCGCAACTCAATGTGAAAATTGAAAACAAGTCAATCAAACAAGTTCATGAAACCAAAACTCTTGGAGTGACATTGACCAGCATTTATCTTGGAGAACTAACACTGAGAATATTTGCAAGAAAATAACATCCGGAATATCGGCTCTTAGAAGTTTAAAAGAATTTGCTGATAAGCAAACACTTCTTTCTGTATATAATGCTATTGTTCGACCATATTTTGATTACTGCTGTAAAGTATGGGATGTGTTTGGAGAAACACAATCAGAAAGACTCCAAAAACTACAAAACAGAGCTGCTCGGATTATTATGAATATGAGCAATGACATAGATCATTCTGTTGCATTGCAAGCATTGGGTTGGAAGCCACTTAAAACAGAAAGGAAGAAAAGTAAAGCAAAAATCATGTACAAATTATTGAACAAAATGGGACCAAAATCACTCACTAATCTGTTCACATATAAAAGTGAGGTGACAAACTACAAACTTCGAACATTTCAAGTAGTCTTTCTTTACCGAATAGTCTTTCTTTACCCAATACGAATCCGATAAAAAAATAGACCAATTGCGAAACTTAGTGGCCGCGCCTTCATACTGCACGAAAACGAGGCTTATTATTAAAAACAAAACAATTTCTATATTTTTATATAGCGAAAAGTGTATTTTAGGGTTTTTAAAGTGTTTTTTCTTTAATCTCTTTGATCTTTTCTTAATATTTCGTGCTAGGTTATACAAATATTTGTTAAATTTATCTAAACATCGATTTCCCACTATATTTTTACCCGCTTTGGAGAGATATTTCGTTGTTGTTTTAGCATGCGATGGAACATATATATGGAAAAGTTCAATCTAGACTTTAAAATCTGATCAAGATGGAAATAAAATAGCCAGTATAACTTAACAAACTAAAATATAACTCTTTCTACCCAGATTTTTTTAGACTTCGTGCGAGAAAAAACTGATTCTGACAATTTTATGTTATTACATAAAATTTCTACAAATTTTGCCCAACATTTACTTTCATATTTTTAAAGTTAAAATCGAAAACTTGCTATTATATTACAACTGAAACAAAATTAATCAATGTTACAACTTAGTCTTTGAAATGTATTAATAAAACGGACGGAAAATACCTGATTCTTTCTCTGGCATAATCTGCTTCTTTTATCGGACGGCGAAAAACAGCAAAACATTGCCTCGCACGCCGCGAAAAACAATGAAATTTGAAGTAAGACTAAATCTATGAACAAGTTTAATAAAGATTTACATTGTCAAAACAGAAATATTGAAAAAAAATGAAGAGATTACCATAAAAACGCGTCTCAAACACTGAAATTCATTTTTCGCCATATAAAAATATAGCAGAATGATTTGTTTTTGCATAATAAGCCTCGTTTTCGTGTAGTTTAAGGCGCATATTCATAATTAATTATTAAGTAGGAATAAATCTTAGCTAAGCTACGACACGTTCGTGATTAATCGCTTTTTCTTTTGTAATGCATTGTTTTAATTAGGCACAGAGGTGAAAATTTTGACTAACATTTTTGATCGGCCTCGTACATGCTTATTTTTTCTCCACTTGGTATGAAAAGCATGTCATTTAATAGCTAAAAGCCCGATCTTTTCGAATATGAAAACCAATTGTTCATACACCAAGTGATTCACGTATAATAGTGCGCTGAAGTTCAATTACCTTTTTTTCTATACACCCTGTATATCTTATATAATTTTGTAAATAGTTTTTAAAATTATTTTCTGTATAATTTTTCGCACGCCCCTCGTGGAAATCAGCTTCGGTTGACAGGGTTAGCGTGATTAAATAAATTTTTTCTATCTATCATGTTCTTACAACGGATGCCTCCCTCACTGGTTGGGGAGCGGTTTACGAACATAATAGCAATGGTGGTTTTTGGTCTGATGAAGAAAAATTACATCACATTAACTATCTTGAGCTACTAGCACTATTCTTAGGCTTACAGACTTCATGTAAAATCTTACATAATACCCACATTCGGGTGTATCTTGATAACACAACTGCTATAGCTGTAATAAACCACATGGGAACGAGTCACTCGCAACAAAGTAACGCCCTAGGTAAAACTATCTTGGAATGGTGCATCTCCAGAAATATTTGGATAACTGCTGCCCATATCCCCGGGGTTGACAACACAATAGCTGATTCAGAATCTTGCAGTACTGACTCTCATACCACATTAATGCTTGACAGCTCTGTCCTCAAGAGTGCCTTGCCTCAGACTTCAACCCAAATATTGATATTTTCGCCACAACAACTTGATGCACAATTTTCAACTTATGTTTCTTACAGGCCTGACCCAGGTGCATTCGGTATTGACGCTCTCTCATTAAACTTGGCTGAATTGCAGTTTTATGCTTTTCCTCCCTTTAGTGGGAAGGAAAATTTATCGCATGGTTGTTGCACAAAATTCAGGAGGAAAAAGCGAGTCTTTTTTCCCAATGACGGATTTAAGATGGGAAAACAATTGGTAGTATATCTTGATTGGGAATTTTATGTGAATTTTCCCCAACTGGGGAAAATAATGGAACATAAAAATATTCCCTAAATTCCCATGTTGGGAAAATGTTGGAAAATTTCCCATATTTGGGAATTTGTTGGGTAAAAAAATTTCCTTTTTTGGGAAAATATTCGAATCTTTTTTCCCATTGTTGGATATAACACGGGGAAAAAATTAGTAGTATGTCTTGATTGGGAATTTTATGTTAATTTTCCCAAACTTGGGAAAATAATGGAACATAAAAATATTTTTTAAATTCCCATGATGGGAAAAAGTTCCCTTTTTGGGAATTTAACAGGTAAAAAAATTCCTTGTTCGGGAAATTATTGGAATAATTTTTCCCAATCTTGGATTTGACATAGAAAAAATATTGGCAGTATGCCTTGATTGGGAATTTTATGTGAATTTGTTCAAACTGGGGAAATATATAAGCTAGGGAACATATATATGTATATATATATATATATATATAAATATTTCTCAAATTCCTATGTTGGGAAAAAATTGAGGCAAAACATTTTGATTGGGAATTTATGTAAATTTTCAGAAACTAAGGAAAATAGTGCAACATTTTTTTCCAACTTTTCATATAATTGCTGATCATACAGTATTCATTACATATATATGGTGCACATTTATTTAATTAATATAATCAGGTCTCTCCAAAATGTCTTCATGCATATGCTATCTTTATGTATAGTATTTATACAAGGTTGGCAAGTCTAAATTCATGTGGGATCTATATAGTCTGCCTTACGTCACAGGTTTTAAGCTTTATTATTGGCTATAGCTTTTTCCCACAAAAAGAGAGACGGACTGGCCAATCGAGGAGCTTAAATTTGTGGCTGGCAACTTGCATCCCGCATACTTTTGAAAAAAATGGCAAAATATGAATTTTTGCAAAAATCTCTCGTTTTAATTAAGTTTAAACGCAACAAATACACTGTACGTATTTTAAAGTTATTTCTGATCATATTGAGTTACTTTTTTATGAATTTCGATGTTTATTTACATTTTTCCGTAATTTAATTGTATACGGTCAGACAGTTGCCAACCTTGTATAAATACATACATAAGACATTTTTCAAGCCAAGAAAGGAACCCTCTTAAGTTAATTTGATGAGCGGAACCATCTCGTGTTTGACCGAGTAAATTGGTAGATTGAGTGGTAGATTAATTATTAATTATAGGTTTATGTCTTGAAAGAAAATGAACATCTCTTAATTCCTAAAGTTTCAGCTGAAAGCCTTAGAATGTTTATTCCGAAGCAATATTATTTCAGCGACCATGTTGTTGGACAGCTCATCGTTAAATATATTATACCTTCTTTACCCATGTAGAAGGGTTATTCCAATGCCCTTCGGCAATACCAATTATTGATTGCCAATGCACAGTGTTTCTTGCACCCCTACCACGAGTCTCTCTAACATAAATGTCATCTTGATGATTTCTGAAACTGGGAATATAGAAAAACAAATCCACCATCTTGGCTAAAAGATCAACACTTTGGATGTGACCATGCCAGATATCTTCATTAGATTTGCCTTGAATGAGTACCATGTCACCAACTTTAGGATAGACAGGTATGACTAATTCATATGGAAAGCACCTCAAATGTCGCATATAGTCGACTACAGTCAACAGATTGTCATGACATGAGGGGTAAAGAATTACTTTCCTGCGAATATCCTTTTACATGAAAAATCATTGAATTGTGAAGCGGCTGGCATTTAACCTTGACAAACCCACTCCAATAGTTTGTGTCGGCACTGCCATTGTCTTTTAGCTGAATTGGATAACAAATTCCTTGGGCTAAAAGACTGTATAAATTATCACCACCATTGACAGACAGAAATTCTTGAAGTTGAATTACAATTTCTTGTCCATCAACTGCAACAATTACTGTATCACCAGCAACAAAAACAGTTCCATTGAATCCAACATTTTTCTTAAAACATCTCTTGCAAACATATGCTGCTACTGGAACCTTCCAAGGAGGAAGAGACAGGAGTTCAGCTATCATGTCACAGTTTACCTGATCCAATGCCTTGATATTTTTCATGGAACCAATGAGGAAGGCTTCTCTGGGAGGAAGTTCTATTTGAGAAAGTATCTGACAGGTTTCTTTGGAGTTTGCAATCCCCTAATTAAATTAATCGAAAGCAAAATTCAGTTTAATTTGCAGAATTTATGATAATTTTAAGTATTATTAAAACAGTAAACAAGACAATGGCTTATATCAAGCGCAGATCAGTGACGTCAATCACAACTTACAAAGCTCGATCACCATAATTAATCGGAACGAACTTCGGAACGAAGTTCGAAACGAGCTTTGGAACTTTACAACGAACATTCCAAAGTTTCAAACAACAACAATTTGAAGTCAATGAACTCAATTGCGAATTTGTTGCGACATTCACACTCAACTTCCGAACTTGGAAAGATAATTGGCAAGTTGGCAACGATCTTCCGAACTGCTCATTGAAAAGTAGTCTGAAATCGACAACATGAAATAAGCCTTGAATCATATGAACTCCAGGACAATGATCTATGAACAACTTATACAAAGTAAATTCTACTATAATCTATGATAATATCATGCCAGAAAAATGTTGTTCACTCCAGTCAGTCCTGTCAGGGGAAGGCCATTCCAGGTTTCATTGGGAGGAACGCCATTCCCCAGTGACAATAGGGAGGAGACCATTTCCCTCATCTCCCTTAGAAAACATCATTGGTGCAAAATCAACTTACTATTGAATTAAAAATTTTGTACTTACCAGGGAAATGTCATGCTTTCCATTAGGTAAAGTTTGGTCACACCAATCAACTGACTTTAAGTATTCTCTTATTGCCTCTACATGGGCAAATGTGACGACTTCAATACACTTTCCATTGTTTGATTTCTTTACATACTCCCCTTTACGGCCCTTTCAAAGACAGCACACCAGACATTATCTGGAGCTGAGAAATTTGTAATATCTTCATGAATATGTAGTAAGTTTTGCAATGAGATTGTACACATTTCTAAGCCTTGCACTTCTTCCACCTGTATGTTTAATCGCCAGGCCAGTTTTCAATGCAACTCAATCATTGTAGGTGTCCATCCATTCCTTCCATCATGAAAGTGCAACTCTGTTAATCTTGCCACAAGACACACAATTTCAAATTCCTTTGGACTGCTAATATGACTTTCCAAAATGCATTCTGCCATAGGGAAACCAAATTTTTGAAAACTTTCAGCCTTCGAGTAGTCAATACCTTTCCAATCCTTTCCAATTTGTCTTGGTAGTCTCCCATCCTTAAATTCATGTGTCCAAGGAAAGTTTTGAATTTGTTCATCCAAATTGATTTTGTTTATCATTCCTAGATCTAAAGTTCTGCCAAATTGATTCTTGACAACGTTAAGAGGAACAGTATGGAAGACATCATAGACAAGATGATACAAAATGTTAAATCCATAAATTGGGTAAAGATACTTGTGAAAAATTGATATGCCAGTGAAACCTTTCTCTGAAGACATTCTCTTTCTGACAGATGACCTTGTTTCATTCTCAATGTCAAAAAGAGTTTCAAGTTCTAATTCAATCTCCATCTGACCCCAGGGATCCCTACTATGGAGACGGTTTTGCCCATAATAATAATGCGTATTTGAACTATTCTCCAAGTGCTGGCCCACCAACTTACAACGGCGACACGCACACTTGCCTTGGTTCAAAAACTTCCCCACTTCACATTGACCTGGATGGTCAGCAGTCCAGCATACTAATAACAGTCTGATTGTTTCTTCTGGAGAAGGTTTGTACTGTTCAATTTCAACTTCTGCTGGGAAGCATACTTGGAAACCTTCAATAAATCCATCACAAAGATCATTCATCAAAGGATCTAAGAAAGGATCCAGTCCACAAGGTTTATTCTTTGGAATGTCAGAGCAAGGCACAAACCCTACAACATACACTTCATTGACATGGTTTCTTTCACTCTTTCGCATATTGGCAACAGTAACCTCTAAAGAACCAGATCCTCTATAACTTGTGCCAAATGGCTGCCAGCCATCAAAATGTCCAATCAGTCCCAAGTTCAAGGGAGAACCATTTGGCCATTTAATAGAATGTTCAAAATTTTTAAAACAAATAGGGCATTCAACAACCTTGATGTCATTTTCCAAATCATGAGCTGGTGAGTTAATCAAGTGCTCTGCAGATATAGGAATGTCACAGAGTATGCAGCGTGTGGGTAGAGCCCAAACACAGTTTGGGTTCCAAAACTACTGATGTTCAGCCCATCTCTTACCGTCCCATATTTCTTTCTTTATTTCCCACCCTTCACTATTCCCCATCCAATGTTTTCTTTCAAGCCAATGATGAAGCATTTTTTTACACATAACTTTATTTCTAAACCAATTCTTCACTTTACTTCCAAGACCTAGGTACAAATACTTCAAATAGCCTGCACAGCCGCAATGAGAACACTTGTCATGTTTGTTCTCCATGACACTGTACTTTCCATTGTAAACAAATTTCTTTGTAGATTTGCCATCTCTGGTTAGTTCTTTTTCATCACGACAGAAACAAATATAAAACTCTTTTAGCATCTTCAAATCCCTCTTCCTTTAATAGCAATTGTACATCATTCCAACTCTTTGGCCACAAAGTAGTTAAAATTTCCACATCAACATCTTCATGTAGAGATGTGAAAAGCTGCTTTTTCCCATATTCCAAAACATCCTCAAACGTTTTTACGGATACTCCACTATGGTGCTTTATTCTGGGGGCATCTAGAACTGCCTTAACAACCATCGTTTTTAAGGGATTCTGATCAATGTTTGGATTGTCACATCCACCACTTGTTGACAAGTCTGGCATGTCATGATCAATCGATTTGCTTGATGATTGTTGAGCATTTCTCCCATCATTATTTTCCTTTGTTAACAATTGGTCACTGTTATCACCATGACCATCTCCCAAAGAATTGTCATCACCAGAAATGTCACCAGCACCCCCATCAAAATCATATTCGCCGATGTCCATGTCCATGTCATCCAAGTTGCTGTAAACATGAATGTTAGTTGACGTTGAGGCTGCCAAATGACACGTTTCTTTCCAGTGTCGAAGTTCAATACTTCTGTCAGTTGCCCTTCCATTGCATCTCGCGCAAGGACAATGGACATGTCTGTACGACTTTTGCTTGCATTGACAAGCTGAAATTTCACTTCTTGACCAACAAACCTTTTTTTCTCCAAAAGCGTTGCTCATAGCTTTCCTATCAACTCTTGGCCACTTTATGTTATTACTGGCCGAATTTTGGTGGTTTTGTCATCATTTCTATTTCTCCAAGGTAGTGTTTCCACTTTCCATAACTTAATGTCTAAATTTCCATTAAAATGATATTGAGATGCTTTTATCCATTTTCGGGTTATGCCGTTATGGGGCAGATAAATGGATACTTTTTAAAATAAACTTTTAATTTGCAGTCAAACTTTAGTTTATTTAAATTTTACAAAATCGGCTATATATAGTGTAACTATAGACTTGGTCATTGTTCATTGAAAATTTTGTTTAAAAAGTGGAAACACAGAGATTGTTTTACCGCCATAAGTAAACCAATCAACCAATCAAGATACAGGATCGTTTCACTTGCCGATTGAACGTCCTCCACCATTTTACATGTATACAATACAGTGAGTTTTATAACTAAAATTTTGAAATAAATCCATTTGCAGTTGGGTACTTGTGTATTAAATCAGGTTGGAGTTTTTGCACTATATAAGGATGGAAAATTCGGAATCACCAACAACACCATGTATTCATGACATCGAATTAGAAAAGTCTGAAAATTTGGAGATGTCAAATACATCAGATGAAAATATGTTGGCACAGATAAAGGAACTATTTGGTGATGAAATTGCCAGCGCTTTTGAAAGTAAGTAGTGATGATAAACTATCAGAATTCTGTACCCTGTGTTCTTGTAATATAAATACAATAATATACATTTGCATGTACCATTATATTATTTATATATAAAAGTATAACAGTACGTGCACATGTTTAATACTATACTGCTATATATTCCTTATTTATACAAATTGTCAATTGCAAGTACTAAATGTCACGAATATGTTATAATATCAGAATATATATTTACCAATATAGTGCAATATATACAAATGTACAATGTACTTAGTCAAAACTAGAACACTTCGTGTCAGTTCGTGCCTGGTACGAATATTCGTGTCCTCGTGTAAAGTAGTCATGTGATAGATAATATAAATTAACATAATTATTATCCTTCTAACACTATATTTGTCATTGTAGGGGAAGAGATTGTTACTGAAGAGGCTATAAGAGATTGCTTATCCAGAGATTCAGATGCTCCCATTTTTGGAAGACTTGGCCTGTCCTATGGTAAAGCTGTTCACTTCAAAGCAACATTTGAAAAGATTTTCCCACAGGAAAATGTAGTCAGGGGGAATAAAAGATCTAGATCATCTACACCCTCACCTACTAATGTGAAGCCATCCATGGGTGACATGGCTTTTTTCTCACCAGAACAGAAGGTCTTGTATCTTGCTAAGTAAGTGAATGGGGCAAGCATTGTTTGTTATAATATTTTGCTGAGAAAAAGTTCACACTCTAGATCTACATTGGTCGCTTACCTCAAAAGGCCATCAGACTGTAGTGGCCTACTGGCCTTTTGAGGTAAGCAAAAATCTACATTTGCTCTGTCTATACTGATGCAGATATTGCACAGCACACTCCCTATTAGGGTTTATTGTGCATACTATTAGATAGACAGAACCGGAAGCAGACCGAGGTAAACTGTGAGCTTACAATGGCGCTTTAAGCAGCCGCTATTAGTCCATACCTCATTAATGATCTGCCCCCTGACCTATGTGTTTAACCCACCCTGTCAACTTTCCCTGTGGGAGGAAACCGGAGTACCCGGAGAAAACCCTGGATCCGGAGTACTCGGAGAAAACCCTGGAGTACCTGTGTGAAAACTTGTTATACGGTTTCCATATGATCTTTAAAATTTTATTAAGAGTATTAACCATGATTCAAGGTTTAATTTTCTTTGTTATATATATAGACATAAGAAAGTTGGAGTGTTAGCTTCAGAACATTGGAAAGATAACCCTGCCCCAAAATTTAATACACCTCAAATGAAATCAGCATTGGCAAAATTTGCAGAACAAATTGCACCACAATGTGCAATGCCAGAAATAGGTTTTACTGTTGATGGGATTGTCAAACATGTGCAGTGTTTCTTCAATGAACAACGAAGATACAGAAATAGAAAACCACCAGTTGATTTAAAGGTACATATACAGTATGCTGTATTACATTTTTTATTACTTGTTTTTAACCCATTAGCTGGCATTGCACACCCCCAATGAGCCCTACATTAGTATTTACCTGTCTAACGCCAGATGGTTTACTTGTCAGTGGTAGATTACTACCAGTTAATGGGCTAAAAACTGATTACTGATTACTCTTGTTAACCCATTAGTGGGCAATGTGCCCAAATGCACCCTACTTTAGTATTTACTCTGTCTAACACCAGACGATTTTATTCGTCAGTGGTAGAGTACTGGTCGTTAATGGTTAACAAACCTATCTGCCCATGTCTCTCGTTAACCCATAGCGGGCAATGCGCCCAAATGTGCCCACTTCAGACAGTATTTACTCTATCTAACACCAGACAATTTTACTCGTCAGTGGTAGAGCACTGCCACTAAATGTGTTCACCATCCTATCTGTCAACGACTCTTATTAAATACATCTGCCAAATGTCTCCTAGCTATTAACCCATTAGCTGGCAGTGTGCCCAAATGTACCCCACATTAGCATTTGCTCTGTCTAACGCCAGACAAACGATTTTAACTCATCAGTAGTAGGGTGCTGTTAACAAATCTGCCAATGGCTCTTATTAGCAAATATATCTGCCAATGTCTCTTATAGTTAACAAACTATTTTACTTGTCAGTGATAGAGAACTGCCAGTAAATGGGTTAAATTAACAAACCTAGCTATCTGCCAATGTCTCTTATTAACCTGTTAGTACTACTACTTTAGTATTTACAGAACTCTGTCTAAGGCCTAAAAAAATACCTGTGGTTCCGGTTTCATATCGTGAAAAAATTAGGGTCGGCAGGTCGGAAATAAAATTTTTTTTAAATATTATTTTCATGGTTTTGGCGGTTTTTTGTTGGGCGATTTGCAGTAGAGTCCTGACATCAATATTAACTCGAGATGTGTATTTACTATGGACGAATTTAGGCAATTTGGTTCAATAATTAGTGTGACAACAGATGCCATTTTGGCATGCTGTACGAGCAGCCCGCAACCACCTGGAGAAAAGAGGGTTGCACGGTCAATCGCGTTGAAAAAATAATAGGGTCGGCAGAAAAAAATAGGGTCGGTCGGGAACTGGAACCACAGGTATTTTTTTTACGCCCTATTTTTTTCTGCCGACCCTATTATTTTTTCAATGTGATTGACCGTGCGACCCTATTTTCTCCAGGTGGTTGTGGGCTGCTCATACAGCATGACAAAATGGTGTCTGTTAATTGTCACACTAATTACTGCAGAAACCATGAAAAAATATTCAAAAAAAATTTATTTCCAACCTACCGATCCTAATTTTTTTGTGATATGAAACCGGAACCACAGGTATTTTTTATGCCTAATGCCATACATATTTATTCTGTCTAACACCAGACGATTTCATTCGTCAGTGGTAGCTAGAGTACTGCCAGTAAATGAGTTAAATGATGAAATGTAACATAATATATTTATAGGTTTCCAATTCAACAAAAGAAGATCCAAAGTTCCCTGAACTGTTAACTATTTCTCCAAATGAGAAGTCCCAGGTTCTTCAAAAAAGCTGAAGGTACGTGTACAGATTGGAAATTGCATGTGAACTTTGCTTTTTCCTTAACTGATGTACGCATGCAACAAATTTAGCTAACTAGTACTGAGAATATTGTCAGTCGTACTGCATGTCCAGAGATGTCAAAAGGAAAAGTATTTTGATCTTCGTTAGCATCCAGTTCATTTATAATATTTCAATGTATTTTACTCATTCACTGTTATAAAGGTTTTAGTACCTATAGTTTTATACTTAGTCTCTGGAACATTTTCTTGCATTAATATTTTCCTTTTTCCTGCATGTAGCGAGTTAAAAGAATTAGTGATGATGGATCAGGAAGTGATACTGGGAACGATCATGGTGCCCAATCTGCAAGTACTCTTTCACCAAATAGTGATTTGGATTCATAACCAGAAGATTTGGGCATACATGATATCAAAAGTGGTGTCTCTCTAGATCTGCCTAATGATGATTCGGAGAGTAAATTCCCACTAAGTATACCCATTTAAAAGTTGTCAGATGATTTGCAAAGCAGTGTTTGGTGAACTGCCAAATAGGGAAGTCATTATAAGAATCTTAAAGAAGAAATTCGATGTAAAGCAAGGTCAAATAACAGCGCTAACAATGAGCCAACTTCTTGAAGTAACATCAAAAAAGTTGATCAACCAAAAATACTGTTCTGTCAAAGAAGGCACAAACATGAGCAATATCAGAATGGACAGTATTATTGTACACAAAGAGATTGCACTTTAGATGCATGATCACGCAACTGCACTGCATTGATCAGCGATGTTACAGTACATTGACTTGTTTTGGTTGAAAACTAGCTAGCTTGTGCAGAGATATACAGCATTTATTTACTACAGTGAACTGGACATGCAAACATGAAACATTTATATTAGATATATATTATAGCTTAATATTATGCAGTAGTTATATTAGTTGTGTTAAACTAGCTAGCTCATATAATTCATTTGTATGCACATCCCAAATCTCGGAATACTCATGATCAACATTTACCCAGTTTTGGGAACAAACTGGGATAATTATAATCCAACGGGGGGAAAAACCTGGGAAAACAATGGGACAATGTTAACCCAACAATGGTAATACCGTGGGACGATATTTTCCCCAGGTTGGGAATATTCTGGTACAATAGCAACCCAACAATGGGAATAAACTGGATCAATATTAACCCATACAGGGTATTTACTTGGGACAATACTAACCCGTTAATGCGAATAAACTGGGTCAATATTAACCCATACAGGGGATTTAATTGGGACCTTAATAACCTGTTAATGGGAATAAACTGGGTCAATATTAACCCAACATTGGGAATAAAAATGGGTCAACCAATGTTGGGAGTTAATTGTGTTTTTTTAAACCCAAAACTGGTTTTGGTAGCATTTTCCCAGTTTTGGGAAATTCCAATTAAAACCCAAATAATTCCCAGTAATAACCCGATTTTTTCCCTAAATGGGAATCACAAAATATTTCCTGTGACAGTTAACTTAAAATAATAATGGCATCATGGCGACAAACACCCGAAAAACAATATCAGTGCTACGTTCTAAAATGGGTCAGTTTTTGCCAAGAAAATCAAATTAAAATTGAAAATGCCGACATCAACAACGGCCTGAAATTTCTCACATACTTATATTATCAAGGCGTAGGCTATAGTGCCATTAACACAGCCTGGTCTGCATTATCAGCACTAATCATGTTGGGTAGTCATCGAACGTTTGGAGAACACACTCTAGTAAGTCTGGTTACTCTGTTTCTCAAGGGTGTTTTTGAACTTAAACCATCTTTACCTAGATACTCAGTAGTGTGGGATGTGGGTATAGTTCTCAAACGAACATCTGCAGGCAATGGCCCCAATGGAAGATTTAACATTAGCTATTGTTGACAAAGAAGTTAACCACATTATTAGCACTTTTAACTTCACAATGATGTCAAATATTGAAAAGCCTACCTACAATCCTGGACAAAACCATCTGCGACACTCTATTAAAACATTCCTTTGTGGCTTTTTTTACCAGTTAGACCCTAATAATTTACTCGTTTGCCCCCCTCCGCCCCCCAAAACAATGTTGGACGTTTTATCCGTATTCTACGAATCCAATCAACATTGAATGGTGGGGGAAAGGGGGAGGTTTTCTAAATTTATGATAACATTACGATATTTTATGAAGTATAATTGGAAGTGTCGCAGATGTTTTGTCCAGGATTGTAGATCTAGGTTTTATGCAGGAAACTAAAAATCAGGTTGTCTTTGCAATAAGGGAAAAACAACATGAGTGGGAAAACATCTCCCACCAATCCAACTACCGAGTTACCCAAATGACATTAACCTGTGCCCTGTAGCTCATATAAAATGTTATATCACGTAAATTCAACCATTATGGCAGCATTCAAAACTTTTATTAAGTTATGTCAAACCTCACAAGCCGGTGACTAACTGTACTATTGGTAGATGGGTGAAAAGTATTCTTTCTGATGCAGGAATCGACCAAATCTTTTCAGCCCACAGCAGTTGGACAGTGTCATCATCGTATGGGGTGATGTCTGGCCTGGCATTGAAGGATGTCCTCAAAGCTGGCAGATGGTCAAATGCAGAAACATTTGCCAAACATTATAACAAGCCAAGCCAATTGAGCCAAATTTTGGGAACAGTATACTTAATCATTTTATTAACACAGATAATTAATAAAACGATACATATAGTCTCTATATACAGCATTGTTACTTGTTGACATTTAACCTACATTATGTTTTATCTGCTACCTGATCTAAACTACCACTTAGGCAACTTACTGTCACTCATAGCTTTAAAGTCTCCTGGTACATCCGTAGACTGATGACGTATAGAATTTGAAAATTAAATGGAACTTACCTGGAAGTTGAAGTTTGATTTGAATTCTATAACGTCATCAGTCCGGAACGAAGGAGTAACATGCCCTCCTGTATATAATGGAGTTTACCCTCCCTGTACTCCTTCGTTCCTGTGTGAGTGTCAGTAAGTATTTGGACTTTAAAAATTGGCTAGAAAATGTGTGCGTGCTTCTCATCTTACTCCTTCATTCCGGACTGATGACATTATAGAATTCAAATCAAACTTCAACTTCCAGGTAAGTTTTGTTTAATTTTCAAATTATACTTTATAATTTAAAGTGCATATGACACGAAATTTCATCCCAAAGATTTATGGTTGCATTGTAAAGATCACTTAAAATTACTTAATAATTTCTTTTATATAATTTTGATAACTTGCTCCCTTTTCAATACATTCAACTTCTTTCATACGCATTTGCATATCACCGGTGTGACATCACATAACATAATGAGTTTTCAGAAAAGTATAGTTTTCTTGACGAATACGTATCTAAAAAATTGCCCTTGTATATGTATTAATTTCATAACTGGTAATTAACCCTCTGTATTTGTTTGTAAAAATGTTTTATCAAGGTAAAATATTGTGTTTTCAAAATGCCATTATGCGATGTGATGTCACACCGGTGGTGATATTTCCATATGAAACAAAGTTGAATACCTTGAAAAGGAGGCAAGTTACCAAATTATGAAGTCATTTTAAGTGATCTTTACAATGCAATTATAAATATTTGGGGTGAAATTTCATGTCATAGGAACTTTAAAGTAAATTTTTAATGCAAAAACATGATAAAATAAAAAATAAATAAATACCGCACATATACCTCTTTCCCAGGGACCCTGGGACCCATAGTATGCCTTATTTCCCTGGCCTCATAGTGACAAAAAAGTGGTATTTCGCCAAGAGGGGTGTGTTTTGTACGACAAAGTTTCATAATATTTTGCATGAAAGGCGGAAATTTGCAGTTGTTGTATTCACGAGTCTCGGAATCAAGAAATAGCGCTTCTGAAAGAAAGTTTAAATTTTCTAAATTTTCTACCCAGTCACACTAGAGGTCAACCGTTTTCTTGCCTTTACCAGATCTCCCGATTTTTGGAGATGTCAAGTTGGAACGTCTGATGGTTGTGGCATCGCCTGTGCCCACTTCAAAATGGCCGCCAGAAAGATGCACACTTGCAGAATATGTTTATTCTATACTATGTGAAGCCGTGATCTAAACAATTACAAAGTGTTCTAGAATTAAAATAATCACATGTGAATAACCAAGGTGAGGAATCTATTCGCAATGAATATATGATAATTCATACTACTTATAAGATAATGTACTCGCAGATTAAAATGGGTTTATCGCAAACATAATTTATGACATTTCCAATTTCATATCATTGCGACATTGCCAATTTTTAATGCGAACTCTAACACTAAATAATACAACAGGATAATTTTAAGATTGTGTGATCGGCATAATCCTGTATGGGGGTAATAAAACATCTACTAGACAGTAAAACATTACCAAATAATTGTTCTCTTTTACCTAAATTAAGGCCTCGTTTCCATGTGACCGACATGTTAACTAAATATTGACAAATTTGTTTCTTGCTGTCCTTAGGCTCAATAACAAAGTAATTTCTAAATAATTTACGTTGACACAAATAATGTCGAATCAATCATTATCAATGTAATGAGTGCATGGTTGGGTTTTTTATGTGAACTTTATATTGACCTTATATCTCATGGCAATTTTACAATTAATGTCCAAAGTAACCATATCACAGTACATCTTTTGTATTATAAATATGAAAAGTTAAAATACGACTGAATATTGATTCAACGTTATTTGTGGCAACACGAATGTTGATGTGTCTCCTAAGCACAAAACACGAGTAAGTATATTTGACACAAAATTAAAACAAGGCCATTGGCAGGTTGAAAAGTGAATAAACGGTAAGGTTTATATCGCAATTTTTCATGGCATGCAGTATTTACAACACCACACTTTGTCTGCTATGGGTTTACGTCGTATACCAATACATACACTATAAAGGAAAAGAACATTTTTATCAGTGAAAATACAAAATAAAAGCATGTTTTTGATTGAGGGCTTAATAATCGTAAGGATGCAGTAGTATAAAGTGCTGAAGGTGTTTGTGAACATTGGGAGGTGCCATGAAAACGTTTGCAGTATGAAGTACCCAACACCATTAGCAAGCCCGTCGGAATTAAATCAATATGGGAGTGGGGGGCTCAAGAATAAATCAGAACTGCTTTTGCACTTTCTATTTCCTTTGTGTGTGTTTTCATATACAAATGATTGTGCGCATGTACTGTATCTCACCATTTGTATTGAGGTATGAATTAGGCACAACACCATACTTTTTAATTGTCAAGTGGAGAGTGCTGCCACTTAATGAATTAACCAAACATGCATCCTCTTAACAGGCATTTAGCGAGAAGGGTGTCCTGGGATGGCCTACAGCAAAAAATGCACAGCCAAATTCAGGGGAAAGGGAAATT